GTTTAACTACCATAAGTTTATTACGCAAACAATTCAGCATGCTTCTACTTCCTAAACTGGACTGGAATCTGCAAAATTGTTGGCGAGAACAAAATTTGGACGGTCCGTGGATGAGTTAATATTGATAAATGAACATTCCAGTTTAATCTTCAATATTTTACGTTCATTAATTAATGCAGATTAATGTCGTAACATTCATTAAGTGCTTTATTAAATTTGCCAAATCATTTTTGTTTCACTGACTTAATGTTGGGTTAGCTCCTGGAAAGATTAGTTAGGAAAATACCAAGAATGGAAGGGACTAGCATCCATATTAATTCGTACATGAATCCCATCAGTCAGGTCTTCAAATAGTTATTAGTTAGGAGAAATCCGCAGAAATCTATACATATTCAAACTGTATGTAACATACAAATTACAAATGAAGATGACTAACATGCTTATAGGATGAAAAGTTCTTACTTTTATTTTAATTTAATATTTACATACGTAAAAAAGTAATTTCAAAGTTATCTATTTGTCTGTTTTTTTGTGGCGGTAATTTACGAAAAGCTACATACAAACGTGTAAAGTTGAAGCCAAGGCTATAATTGATTGGAATCAATCAATTATTATAGCCATTATAATTAAATCTTTACTATAGAGAAAGTGATGATTGCATCAACATCTCTATAACTTATAGATTTGGTTAACTTAAAGTTTAGGCTATATCAAAGTTTCATCAGATCTTTTCTCAAAGTTTGACGTGAAATTACCTAAGTGTCAAACACTCATCACAAACTTGTTGAGTTTATTATTATTTACATACCTACATTTATTTATGATTACCACTCTCAATAACTTTATATTATACAAGCTTTTGCCCGCGTCTTCACCCGCGTGAAATTTAGTTTGTCACAGATCGTCATAAATTATAGCCTATATATTATTCTGGGTTATAAACAATAATACTGTAAAGTTTCATCAAAATTCGTTCAGTAGTTTTTGCGTGAAAGAGTAACAAACATCCATCTAGACATCCAAACTTACGCATTTATAATATTAGTTAGGATTATTGTTAGACTAATATCTACTAGTACAACAGTAGTTAATTAAGTACCTACAAGTCCTACAACTAATAACATTGATCTCGTCATTATGAGAGTCTAGTTTGTCTTACTGCCCACGTATTTATGTTAAACTAGCTGTGCCCGCGACTTCGTACGCGTGAAAACCCGTTTTCGCAACATTTTTCATTTTTGCTCTGCACTTATTACTCGTAGCGTGATGGTATAGCCTGTAGCCTTCCTCGGTGAATGAGCTATCTAACACTAAAAGATTTTTTCAAATCGGACCGGTAGTTCCTGGGATTGGCGCGTTCAAATAAACAAACAAACTCTTCAGCTTTATAATATTAGTATAGAAGAGTAGATTACTGAATCGTTATTACTTTGGGATAATTATAATATCCGTTCTACGAGCTATGTGTCCCGCCCACTACTACTTGAATTTGGCAATTATGGTATGTTTACTTTAGCTTTTCTGCGAATGTCGAGTGGCGACCACGCAGTTAAGAGAAAAGTAGGCAGGCATCCTATTCGTTGATTGGCTTATCGATGGCGAGGTGACAAATGTATGGGTTTATCGCGTAAATCGATAAAATGACTCGACAAGTTTATCACGGCGCGCATCCTAGACGTGCCTGATGAAGGTTGCAGGAAGCTCCTGGATGCAGAAAGCTCGGGACCGGTTATTATAGGAATTCTTATTGAGGCCTTGTTTAGTAGATATTAGTGACCATATTTAACCTGAAGGGGTAGATAATCTAAACAAAATTTGAAATTATACTCTACATAAACGGAAACTTCTTGGTGTAAGAACAAACACTATTACCTAACTGATGAACCAAAACAATGGCAACACGGTTCGCTCCACTGTTCTTTATTATCTTAATGTGAAAAAAATGCAATTAAAACTTTTTTATGAAAAAAGATACTTACTCAAAGTACTTACCTTGTCACCTCACGACAAATGAGAAAGGATCTGCCATGAAACTTCAGTGCATCATTTTCCTTGTGACGTTATTCTGAATATTGTACTATATTCTACTAAAACGAACCGCAACAGGTGGCTTCACCTAATAAATTACTTATTTAATAATAATAATTCACACCTTGAAGGGTTTTTCCAGGAAAAACCCTTGAAATTACATTCTTCGTCTTACGAACTTCGTAATTTGCCAGAACTTTGGGTCACAGTATCTTTAAAACTCGGGCTATTTATAACTTTTGTTTCTTTTTTCAAACATGAATTCCTAAATTAGCAAAGCCCGTAATTAAAATTAACTAAGCCTGTTTTGACAAAGTTTCTGAGACAAGAAAAACAGCAATATACAAAGAACTTAGAAAGTTGTTTCGATTGTATCTTTATTGAGTAGTATTAATCCTGTAAATGTAGGTAGGCTTAATGTTACGATAAATAAATATATTTTAACCGACTTAAAAAAAGGAGGAGGTTCTCAATTTGAGTGTTTTGACATAAGAGTTCAATACACTGAATGTTTCCCTAAGATAGGTAAATGTACGTACATTCAGCGTCGAATAGTCCATGACACCGAAAGAAGCCCAAAAGTTCGCAACACGTGTCCTTTTATCACAATTGGAATAAGGTTGTGTTGTCAACTTTTTGGCCACCAAGTATGGGTGTCACGAATTTTATTTGACGCTAGCTGTATATTCTTTGAGTTCTAAAGTAACAGCCAAGTTTACGCTTAACTTATTCTGTCGTACTAAATTCATTTCCAATTAGGACTTTATATGAAAGTGATAAAAAGGCAAATGGATCGCAATTGTATTTTTGACGTGACGATGAGGAAAGGCCGTAAGGTGAACGTTTCGTTCGTTCACCTTATGGTACAGTTCAGAACATACCTACATATTTTTTCCATATTGGCTAACATAAGGGTTAATAACTCACCATCACCCTATATAATATATTCACTACGTATTTATTACATATGCCTATACAGATAGCCGTTACATATTTGATTAAATGTCTTAAATCCTCTTCAGGTTTGTCCAGTATAACAGATAGACACCAAGAATGGCGACCTAATGACACGCGTACTATTTGATGGCACGCGCCACAATATTTAGGGCACGCAAGCAATCACAAAAATTACTATAAAATAAATGATAAATAATGTTTTTTGAAAAAGGGCTATCATAAAATTACCTTCATCAGTTAGGCGGTTATCACGGTACGCGGGACGACAGATTTAATCATTGTATGCAAGTACCTCAGTTTTTATAGAAAACACGCGCGGCACAACACACTGATAACGCGTCTGCGCGCGGGATTTTTTATATGAAATCACGCGCTCCGATGCGGAGCGCGGCGCAGTGTGATAACCGCCTTAGTGCCACTGTAGAGTAAGGCCCTGTCATCACTCGCCAGTGGCGCCTCTTTTACAATACCCTTCATTGATAGCATTGTCTTTAAGACCCATAGATTCCGAGATTTCCCACAAATTCGAGAACGTTCCTCAATAGAAATTAATTCTGCGGGTTTTGCGGCATACCTACTGTCCTTTACCCTAAATACCTACTAATTTTAACCACTGTTTCTAATGTAAAAAGTATAATGCAGCAAAATGTAACTCTACATATAACAATTAATAGAAAACACCGTCCAGTTAATGAAAATATACCTGTCCCGTCATCAATCATCATCATCATAGGACCTCTACTGCTGAATACAGACTTCACCCAATGTTTTCCATAATGACCGGTTGACCTTGTCTGGTCCCGTCATCAATAGGAAAGCTACTTAAATAACCTGGTAAAGTCTATCTTACTATGATGGTCTTACTAAACCATCCTGTCTAGACGTTCCTAGACACGTAGTTTCGGCAAAAAATAATGAGGAAAATCTACCCTAAATGAAAAGTCAAGACAAAGGGGAAAAGGATAATTTTATTCCGTGATACAAATTCCCGTTCCCAAATCGGACTTTTTGACAAATAATGAGCTACGCTTTCTTTGCTAGACTTTTGTAATTTCGCAAAGGTATCACTACCAACTGTAAATTGATTTTTACGTTTATATTTCATCTTACATAATACTATTGAAAGGGTATACTCTGCCTCGACTCGAGGTCCCATTACATCTTACTTAGGCTGAGTTGCACCACCTAACTTTGACCGTAACTTTAACAATAACCGGTGTTTTTTATATGGAGTTTGACAGATTTTTAACGTTTATCAGAATTAAAGTAAGATGGTGCAACCCAGCCTTAGTTCTGAAAACACGCATTTGATAGATTTTTTTTTTATGCTAGCCAAGGCAGGTATCAGGTATTTTGCCAATATGAAGCTGAAATAAATATAAAACAAGCTGACTAACATTGAAATCAAATTATTTATATACCTAGAGATGTTTTCTTTAAATTTTGAGTACAATATTGATGATATTATTAAAACATGTAAAGGAAAAATGATTGCCATTATTAGGTGCTAACACATCATAGTGATTCGACAATAACTCTGTCGAAGTAGAGGTTCCCTAAATCATAACAAACTTAATAGATAAGTCAGAACAATTGTAGTTCACGTATAATAGTGTATGTATTTTATTATTAACCCACTAACATACTATATTTCCCAATGGCATCATATCGATTCATTTTCTTTTGAAGCACACCACTAGATTCTCTACTTCAAGATTACATTTCTTTTGAAGAAAGCAAATCCCAGAGCTTCAAAGCATTTTAATCACTGGCTGATAATTTGCTTTATAGAAGTGGGAATAAGATTGGCTTAAAGTTTGAAGATTAGCCTACTTTAATTTAAGCTTTTTGAAGCAAAGAACAATATTTTTATCAGAAAAAAATCTTTCTCCAGGGAATGAACTCAGAACCTCGGGTTAAGAAAGTTCAAGTTCCATTTAAAATAAACTTTTTTAAAGCATCGCGTTACAATATTGCGTTAAATAAATACAATTTACTTCTTTTGTCTTCCGCAGGCCTATTCCCGGATCGATGACGGAATACAGAGGGGCTGAAGCACAAGCGAGAGTGTGTTCAGAGATGAAGGAACTTTGTGAAATCATCAATGAATACGGGAAATCTCCCTGCAAAAGCCTTCTCCCACCAGAACTGAAAGACGCCACCAAAGTCATCTCATTCGGAGAATTATTTTCGGTAAGTTTTTATCAAATCTCAAAACACACAACACACAAAGAACGATTGAAATTATAACTTTTTCGCGAAACTTAAAAGATTGAAATCTCCGGGAAAAAAGAAAACAGCCTAACTAAACAAAAACGCCTAGCTCAATTAAACAATTTAAACTAAGAAAATAATTGTATTTAAGTCTTTAAATTTAAAAAGAAACTTATTTATTTAATTATGCCATTGACAAAAGATTATGCAAGTTTCTTGTGTTAAATTAAAATAAACCTTTCTACATAATCTTTTAGAACGAATTTTACTCATCATGTCAACGAAAATCTTAACTAAATTAAATAAATAGAAGTGCCACTAAACATAACTTAATTTGTGTCTTGTAAGATTAGACACCGTAACTTAGTGTGTAATAGGTTCACTTAAGGACCCAACTTAATCCTGCCCATTTAACTTCTAAAATGCCTTAACATATTATTAAGATAATATTATGTAAAATGTAGGTTGTAAGTAAGTAGATCAGACAGCCAATTTAAGAAAAAAATAAAAAATATACTCTCAAAATAATTCGTTACATTTTTATTTGTAAAGTGCGCTTCATAAATGCGTAGGTACCTAATTGGCTGAAAAAGGTAATCCACTTATAGATTTTATATGACGTAGGCGCAATAAAAACGTTTTAATGCCCTCTTGAGTTGCTATAAAAAGAACAAATAGCACAATTTGTTTACGATATTTCTCATAATTGAGATACTTTAAATGAATTTTATGAATATTATCATAACGTCTCAAAATTTGAAACAATGACTCGAGTAATCATAAAACTTTGTTTGTACTACAAACCTGCCTCTTGACGCTGCTCAATAAAAAGTCCTCTTGTTCTTTGTTAGTGCCATTTTTAATTTAGGTCGATAACACTTTCTTTCTTTAACAAAGAAACTGAGACAAGACTAATTCATTTCACGTGCAGACAACAAGCACTACCTAAGTACTCTTTGATTTGTCAGGTATATTTATTTCTATGAAAATAATTAAACTTTAGGCTACACAAATTAACGAAAGTAGATTTAAATACATTTTCTGTTTTTTTTTTCATTTGGATGTGGTGAATCATGTAATGTTATAACGAGTCTTACTTAATTATCATCGTGATCATTTAATTCGGTATCAATCAACGCCTTAAAATTATTATAGTCGAGAATTTGGCCTATTACTCTTCGGGCTAAACGAGTTGAGAAGGCTTGAGGTGGAATTGTGTAAAGCAATCGTTATCATTTGACAGTTCATAACGTACCTACGATTATTTGTACTTACTGACTTTATCGTACGTTATGAACTGTCAAAACTTACGATTGCTTTACACAATTCCACCTCTGATGCTAGCGTATATTTTTCCCCTTAATCGCCTCTTACGTCAATTTCAACTCGCAGATGAGTCTGTGTAATTGCAAAAGAAAATTTCTTCGTTATTTACATTTTTAACTTCCGCAACAAAGACACCTGGCTAATTACCGGTCTAGTAGCGTCAGCAGTTGCCATTGTCTGCTAAAATTAAAACTGTTATGTCACGCCACCGGCGTTTAGCACTACGAAAATAAATGTTTGATGATCTTGACAAAACGCTGAGAAATTGCCCAAGTAATGAGATTTTGCGACTACTTAGTTAGTTTTATTTTTCTAGGCAAGCACAATAAGGCCCGGTTTCCACAAAGGCGGAGCAGAGCGGAGCGGAGCGGAAAAGTCTTTGGAATAACCAATCAGATTCCATTATTTCCACTTCTACCTCCGCTCCACACAGTCTGCTCTGCGCCGCTGTCAAATTCTATAGAAAAATTTGACGGCCCGACACTTCCCCGTTCTGCTCCTCACTCATGACGAAATCTGAAAAAGTACATGTGCTTGGAGTCTCAAATTTTTCATGAGGGTTCCTTTTAGAACATACCTAGGTGCTCACTAAGGCATTTTGCAAGATTCAACCCCTAAGGAGGTAAAACGAGATCCACGCGTACGAATTCGCGGGCGGCCGCTAGTCTAAAATGTGGTGGTAAGCGCATACGAGTAACTCACCAACGCCTGAACCAATTTTACCATTTTTTTAAATGTTCCTTGAAATCCAAGGATGGTTTTTACGGCGAGAAAAATTCAAATAATTTCTGGGAAAACCCCGGGCGGAAAGCTAGTACATAATAAAATTACATCCGCTACTCATCAAGTTTCAAAAGACATAGCACTAAAGGAATTTCTTTCCTAGCTTTTCTCTTCTAGTTCCTTACCTTAATAAAACTTAGGTTTTACAGAGAAGAGGGTCAGCTTTATTGGATATCTTATATTACTGTGGCCTGGGAATGTGATCTGGACGAATAACCCGAGAGTTAAAGTATGTACTTTGACTCAAAGCGGAGCGAACTTTATGACTATAACTATTGACTAGCTGAGCCCGTGACTTTATATGACAGGAAATAATATCTTTTTGAGTCACATTAAAATCACGATTACATTATAAAATCGCGTTTGGGTTTAAAGTTCCGAGTGCTAGTTCTGACTGCTGCAAACCATTGACGCCCATATTCACAAACGATTTTTGCTTAAGCAAAGCAGCATTGCGAACACACAGCGTTGAGTAGAGCTCTGAGGCTCTAGTTTAGTTCGTGTGTCACCCTGTGTGTCCACGCGCACTGTGAGACCTCATAGTAATGTTTGTTTAAACCGGCATAAGACTTGCAAACGGGACAGGGTCATTATCAGAGTTATTCAATAACTTAGATCTTATCGTAGGAGACGATTGAAAAGAATTTCATTGTTTTATGTAATTACGTGTTACCAGGGTTATTTAAAGTTGCCAGTATAAAGATAATACATTATTTATACGTTTTTTGTGTCAATCAATATTAACCGTTTTGTTTAAGGGAGTGCGTCTAGTTTGCCATTCAAACTAGGTAATATTAATTTACATTCATCATGATCATCGTCATTACAGCCATAGGACGTCCACTGCTGAACATTGGCCTCCCCCAATGATTTCCAAGTTAATTTTTGATGCTTTACATTTTACCTATCAGTAAAAGTTTCAGATAACCCGATAGTGTAAAAAAAAAACAAAAATTGTACATTGGCAACAAACATAAAGTTAAAAACAAGGTCTCCGTATACAGTTTTATTTTCTAGTCAATATACAAAATCATTCTTCCAAGATTTGCTCTAGAATTACTCTTTTCTCGGTCGCGTCAATTTTGGTTCATCAAAGGAAACTTGCCCTAACTACCAGTATGTGCTCCTGTTATAAAAGAAACTTGTCACATGGAAAAGGGGTCTATAATTGTGATCAAAAGGTTATCTCAGTGGTCTCGAAGATTGAGAAAAATGAAAGCTTCCCTTTTGAAACACAAGGATATAATATTTTTGGTAATTTTTACTGAAATTCGTAAGAAACTACGAGTAATTAATTATTACTCGTTAATTATTGAAACACCAATTTAATAGATCAAAATGTTCTGCGTATACAATTTCAATTAACAATAATCAATAAATCTACTTTGTAGTATTCAAATAGAAAAGGATTATGTTTCTCATCACTTAGACGGTGTTAGTACCAACCAGGTTAATTAAAAATAGTCGGCAGTCGGAGACAAGTTTTTTTCTATTCTATTCAGACTGACGCGTTTTTTAATAAAATAACAAAAGAATTTTATCGAAATTTACCTAACCGGGTGAATTATTATATAACTACTAAGTACTTTACAATTATAGAAACATCGGAATATAAGTACCTGACACAAATTATTCAGGCAACAATGAAATCAAAGCGGACGAAGTCGCGGGAAAAAATAATCCTATAAATTCCATTCCATACGATTCAACAATAAGCCCAAGAAAGAACAATGCCCGTTATTCTCGTACAAACGACAGCACATCAAACAAAAACAGTGGCGTCTTACCTCATTGTAATACAGGTTATTTTGCAACGAAAATGTAAAGCTTTACGTGCTCTCGACTGTGCCTTGAACATGGCAATGAGAACGTTAACAATATTTGTGTTTATAATGATCTTGGCACGGAATGCAGATGATACATCCCAAAAACATTTCGGCTCAGGAAACTTTTCATTAACAACTCATACCTACATGAAACGGTGAATCTCAAAGGGATTTGGAAGGGCCATTAGGCAAAGTTTATGATTTTGTATTTTGGCATGATTATATTTTGATAGCTAAGCGTTAAAATCCTCTCCCAGTTAGTCTTTTTGCGTTCAGTAGAGAGGATTATGCTATAGATAGTTTCATCCACGAAGACGCGCCCCACCATCCTTCCGCTAATGTTTGGTACACGCAAAATTATCTTAGTATGAGTGCACACGCACACTACAATAATGACGCTCGGATTGCTCGGATCAAACTCCCCGCACCCCGCGCTACCCTCGACCAAAAATTGGTGGGAATACTCGTAGGTAGTCTACGTCACTAATTGGAATAAAATTTACCTCAGAGTTCAGGTTAGGAATCGTGCTACCGGCAATGTACTCGTAGCTAAATAAAATTAAAACTCGCTCCGTAGTTTTTGAGTCACGTTACAGACAACAAACACTGTAAAATAAAAAATGAATAAGGGCTCGCGCGCACGAGTGACTTTTGTCGCCGTATCTTTTTTGAAGTTCATGGACATGTATACAAGTGCGCGCACGTAGCGATGGGTCAGTGACAGAAACTTTTTTGTCAAATCCATATAAATGTATGGAGGTGACAAAAAGTCACGGCGATAAAAGTCACCCGCGAGCCCTTAAATAAGAGGTTCTTACGCCCGTATTCACAAACGATGCTTGTTTAAGTGAAGCAACAAGTTAAATCGAATGTACAGCGTTGAATAGATCTCTGTGATTGGATAATGTGTCACCCAGTCACCCTGTGCGTCCACACGCGCTGTGAGACTTCATAGTAATGTTTGTGAATACGGGCGTTAGGAAAGTGTTTTATTTGCGAAATTTAGCCTTTATAAATATATGTAGGTTCATAGTGTCAAATGGG